TTTACTGCCAAGGGGGAAAACGCAATTAGAAAATTTAACTTATTTTTTTTATTTTAAATTAATTTTCCATAATATTTGGATGTTGGTGGCACCTGGATATGAACCCGAGCCTTCCCAATGTCAGTGGGCTAAAAACTCGGCTACAGCGGCCGCCAGTACCTTCATAAAAAATGTTTTCTCTACAAAATATGCCGAAACTGTCTCCACAACTTCATCCTCGGTGATCATGTTTTTACTTCTCAGTCTTTTTGTCATTTTTGGAAATAGGTAATAATCACTTGATACCAGTTCTGGGCCGTAGGGTGGGCGTTTGAAAATATCAATGCTCACCTTATGTAGAGTAGGTTACGCAGCGTTGCACTTGTGGCATTTTCGGTATCCAATTTGCGCTGATTTTATTCATGCCAAGATGATCGCGCATAATTTTAAAAATGGTGATATCGGATACTCCAACCATTTCCGCGAATTGTTTCTGCTTTAGTCAAACGTTATCTCGATGCTTCTGCACAAGCTCGGGTCTTCTTCGGGAAATTCTTTTCTTGCTTGTTTAAATAAACTGCCCAATAGTTGCCGAAATGCAATGGTATTTCATGCATTATGGTCACAAACTGATTTTCCTTGCCTGGGAAGGGTCTTTATAACGATACGATATTAGATTTTTTCATATTCCGCTGCCGATTATGTTGCTTCGTCAACAATCGCTAGAAGGCTAATTCAATACGTTACGATCCTAATGAATCTAATCACCACAGTACAAACCTCTCATTCCGAGAACATAAAAACGCTTCCTCGTATATCCATTGGAAATATTCATTATGAAATCATAGAAGCATCATAATTGAGAGGTATCGCTGTCATTAGAAGCACAAAAAAAGCAAAAAAAAAAAACGACTGAGCGCTTTCCTAGAGGGACACCCCAATAGGAGTTTAATTTAGATATCAAATAAGAAATTTTCTGTATTTTAATATATTTGGATTATGTTCTAAAATATTTGGAAAAACGTTACGTAGTTTATTTCTACTCTTCCTAATTCCATTTTTTTATTCACATGAAAAGTAAAAAAGTATCAGCTTTGTATTTATGGAATTTTGCAAAAAAGAAATCTTTATTAGACATTAATTTTATTCAAGTATATTAAACATTATTACATTGATTATATATAGTTAAATTACTCAAACACGGGGTCTCTTGAACGAGCGTACTTAGTCCTGTTGGGCCGTGGTTAAACGTATGGGGAGAAGAGATGAGATTCCTCTCACCTTCCTAATTGCTGAAACCATTTGATTTGTTTATTGAAACATATGCGATTATTGGTACTTGCTGACACTATATCTGCAAGGTAGTCAAAGTATAAATTATCAAGGAAGCAATGTAGAGCTGCAATTATTTCAGTGCGAAAAACTTGGTCAAAGGATTTTCAGAGACTTTGCTCGGCCATTTTTTTTTTTTTTTTTTTTTTTTACTAAAAAGGGAGTTTCGCGAAGACCGAAGCAAAATGCGTTTACTTGGGTGCAAAGTACGGGCTATAAGATAGGTGCTTTAAAACTTCCCATTTAAGCTCGTAGAATTTTGTCTAGCCATCAAATATATAGCGCCTTTTCTATGGATCATATTGATCATTTCGCCTCGCTACAATGGAAAATTTCTACATCCAATACCATCATACGATATAGAGCTTTCCATCAATTTCGTCGTTAAAGTCGTTTGTGGAGGACTGCCGAATCTCCATTGACCATGATTTTTTTTTTTAATTTACTCGTACTCGCAAGCATTTTTCATAACCCGCAAGAAGTCGCTTCAGCGTTAACTTAGATGGCATTTAAACTTTAAGCTTCTTTATGTGGTCATTTTTTTTGTTTGCTTAATGCTTCCGCTATCTGCTGACAACTTTCTTAGCGAAATTGCTTCACGAATTGTAGAATTTCAGCGGCTTTTTGAGTGACTAGCCGACTAAAACGACTAAACGTATTTTTGAATTCAGAATTTCGTTCACGTACAGCATTCTCACCTTAAACCACACAAACTTTTCAACATGTTTTTGCGGCGCTTTAACCTTTAACTTTTTTTTTTATCATAAAATAGTATAACTTAACGTATTTTTTCGGGAATTTCACTCATTTTTCAATCAAAATAACTTTTCAAACCAATTAACGATTCGCTTGAAGTGTCGTCTTTTTAAAAGCGTGTTTGACACAATCGGCTTAATATCTCCTGTAATCTGAGTTTCACGATCAGCTAGTAACAAAAGAGGCGGACTTTTCTATTATCCATAATTTTGATTATTTTCTGAAAATAAAAATGGCATTTGTTTTCACATACTTTTAAGAAATGAGGTAGTTTTATGACAGTCGCGAACTACGTTTATGAATTAAGTTTCATTTTGAAGTCAGACACTGACCTCTGAGAGAATTGCTTAGACAGTACACATGGGTTCGTAAGTAGTTCTCTTCGATACATGTACATATTTCTTTGTGTGCGTTATTTCTTTACTACACAAAGCTTTTTCAAATTGTTTTTTACTGCTTAAATGACGAGATTGCTTTCGCAGTGTAGCGACTTGAATTCATACATAATAAACATCATATACAAATATTTTTAATACGACCTACTGATAAGAGGTATATGTACGTACAGTATGTCTGTTATCGAGTAGTCATTGTACATGGTTGCTCCAGAAATTGATTCTTAATAAAATATGTTTATATTAAGCAAGATAATTTAGATGCGATATACGACATTATGAGTCACGTTCTGTTTTATATAATATATATTTTTTTTTTAATATTTATGCAAAGGAGAGACTATATTCAAATGTATAAATCTATTGCATAAAAATCATTTAGAATTTTTTCTTCTGTCTATTTTTCCTATTTGTGTGTGTTTTTTCCTGCCATTTGTATGATCTAGTTAAGATTGGATTTTATTTTTGTTTGTGAGAAAATATTTGTTCTTTATTTAAATTTTTTTATATTATAAGTTTATAAAAAAATAAATTTTTTTTTTAATAAAATTTAAAATCAAAATAAAATGTCGTACTTGTGAATACTCTTGTTTTTACTCATAATAATTTTCTCCGTTTTATATTTCATTTAAGTTTTTAAAACTTGTAAATAAAGAATTAATTTTTTGTTACATCACTCTTTCAATTTACTGAAACTAACCCCTCAAATTTTAGTCAGCAAGCATTTTATGAAACTTTAATTTTTTCGAGTCATCAATCTCTTTTTTTTTATAATTGGGAGAAAGTGAAGAAAAAGTCACTTTCGACTCTCATTTCTGTTTAGACTTGAATCAGTTTCGAGTTATACTTCTTCTTTTTGTTATGAAATCGCGCTCTTAGTGTTCGAATTAGCCTCAAAAAAGACTTATCGAATTGATTTTGTTATGATGATGATCTTAGGAGCTTACATGTTTTTCATAACTTAAAAAAATTCAATACGCGTATGGTCTTATTACTTTCTATAACATCTCGATAATATCCTAAAATTTTAAAAAGATTCGAATAAAAGTTGCGGAGATACAGCCTTTAGAAGGTGCGCGTTCAAAGTCAGACAGTTAGGCTCAGCGCTAGAAACTTTAAACGCGTTTCGCTCGAAACTGTATTTTCAAAGTCAGTTGTCTAAAATACTCGAAAACTACTTAACCGATCTTTATGGAATTTTACTCAGATCCTCGAGATGCAATTCATGAGGAATAGGACAATAGATTTTTCAACCCCAACTGTATTGAGCAATCTACGGCCTTGGTAGATTTTGGGCTCACCCTTTCAGATACTAATAAAATAATTCGATACTACAAGTTTAACATCTCTATTTATTAGCGTTTTCGGAAAAATTAAAATTTTATCAACCTAAAGGAAAAATTTTTGTCAAAGGATCTTGTGAAGCGATTGATCGCTCTAAGTTTTTGCAAAAACTTGTTTTCCAGACTCCGCCCATAATGTAACAAAATTCGGTGCTTATTCAATTACTGCCGTTTTAATGAAAACAAAAAAATCATACATTAGAAACACTTCCTTTAAGGAAGGCTTCGGTTATATGCATTTTTTTGGAAATACAGTTTTTTTTTTTGTTGTTTTCATTGTCTCAGTTCTACTTTGTGATATTAACTAAAACCTGATTTTCCTGTTTTCCAACTTCTGTTGATCCTCTCATGGTCTCTACTGTCAACGCAAACGCACATTTCTTCGCGTTGTCACCGGAAACGACGTCACACTTGCAGAGTTATGAATATTTTCCTTTGAAAAAGTAAAAATTGAGAATTCATTTGGAAGAAAAAGTGTTGAAATATATATATAATATATATTTTTTTTTTTTTTTTTTTTTTTTTTTCTCAAAAATAAACCCATGTAGCCTCGCCAGACACCACGTGTTGTGCTAATCCATTGATTACTAGCGGTGTCCAATTGTATTGGCTGCTTAATAATTTAAAATATTTCATCCTTAAGTATTAGTGTTAATCATACAATTTTATATTATTTATTTTTGCAAAATTCCTTTTTTATTTATTTGCAAACGTGAATAATTTATATGTATTACACTAAAAAAAAATTATAATAATAACTTTGAACTGGTTTTTTTTCTTGAGAAAAGGCTTAATCTCTCGAAAGATGCTTCCTTCTATAACTAAAAATGCTTGCTTCTATAATCAATATGTATACTAATTCTTCAAAATACCTAACTAATATGGTATACTTACCATTTGTATGATTGTGAATCTCTGTGTATGTAAATAGTTTCTTAATTGGTGAAGGATACGCTTGAGTATTGCACTTTAAGTGAATTTCCCCTATAAAATCATAATCTTTTCACAAATTTACTAACACAACATTCTGCTTAATCCATTTAACACATATACACACACACACACACACACACACACACCAAAATACACATAAATACAAACATATATACTGACTTACACGCCGCACACAAAAGACCGCCAATCAATTTTGACAAATCAAAACTAAACATTTCCTCACTTCAATTCACTTTTACAGAAAATGGAGCGCCAAGGAAAAATGGAATTGGCTGCAAAAGAGCGAGAAAGTCAACGTCTACAACAAATACCCAAAAAGTGGAATCGCCGTGAAGAATATGAATTTCTGCGCGTACTCACTGGTTATGGTGTTGATCTGCAGCCACCCACAGCAATGGGTGTTCTATTGGCGCCGGATTGGACGAAATTCAAACAAATGGCGCATTTGGAGCGCAAAAGTGATGAGACATTAAGCGATTACTATAAAGTATTTATAGCGATGTGCAAACGTAACGCTGGTGTTAAACTTAATGAAAGTGAACGTGGTCTTGAGGGTATCATAGAAGAGATTAGCGACGATCACGCTAAATTAATACTCGAACGCCTCGAATTACTGTCGAAATTACGTGAAGTGGCGAGACATCCGCAATTGGAGGAACGCCTGAAATTATGCCAGATGAATGCTGACACGCCTGATTGGTGGGAGCCTGGCAAACATGACAAGGAACTACTAATGGCCGTACTGAAGCATGGTTTATATCGTTCAGAAACGTTCATTTTCAATGATCCTAGCTTTAGCTTCGCTGATTCCGAAAAGCGTTTCATACGCGAATTAGAGGCACAAATTCAACGTTCCATCAAGCTTGAGTCATTCAATGCTGATCGTCTACCTGCCAACTTACCACCACCGATCGTGAAGGGTGAGGTAATAGATTTGGATGATGAGTTGCTCACAAAGGACAGTCTCATTAAGAAGGAGCAATTCACGCCAATCAAAATGGAAGTCAAATCAGAACCTGCCGTTGAAAGCACAGGTGGCGATAAACTAAGCGCTGCTAAAACTGAGTTAGAAGCGACGACAACTGAGGCTGGTGACGATTCAGAGGAAAATGTTAGCAAAAAGACTGATGAAACGGTTGAGAGCAATGAGGATGGCAAATCGAGCGCTGAGTCGAAAACAATCGATGAAAACGCGGCAAGTAAAGAATCGGTTGCGGAATGCAAAGACTCGGATGTGATACATGAGATACCAGATGATGATACAGATGTTGCAGCAACAACAACTGCAAATGATAAATCTGCCGAAGAAGCTGACAAAAACGCTGAGGTGACCACAGAAAAAACAGACGATAAAACAACAAAAGACGAAAGTGTAAAAATGGACGTTGATGAAAGTGATGTTGCGGAAAAAGAACCGGTAGCAGCTGAAGCTGATAATGAAAAGTCGAAAGATGCAAGTGAAACCAATGATTTGGAGAGTGCCGCAGAGCAGAAAGAAGATGCTGAGAAAAGTGAAAACGAGGACGATAAAAAATCCTCAACTGCGATTGAAAGTAAATCAAATGACAGTGCAAACGATGTGATGTTAAAAGACACCGACACTGATAAAGACAGTAATTCAGCTAATAAGGATGATAATGAAATCGATTTGTCCCAAACAGTTGCACAACCAATTGAAGAGGAAAGCGCAACTAAGCCAGCCACCGAGAAACCCAAGTCCGGTACCGGCGAAGAAATACTCGATTTGGCTGTAGCCACCACTGGCACCACAGATCCTGATGACGAGGACGTTATGAAGGAAAAAGAAAAGGCGGTTGAAGAGGAATGTAAGAAGCAAGCTGCCGAATTGAAGGCACGTTTCCCCGATTTGGAAGTTATACAACCAGCCACCGTCAAACAAAGGCAGGAGAAGCCCAAATTGGAAATGTGTATGATACGCTGGTTCAAAGACTTTGCACTCGAACGCAGAATTTCGCACATTATCATTTGTGTGGAGGCCAATAAATGGCCTGTGAATAAAAATTACACCGCATATGCCGGTTGCAAAGGTATTGATCTGAGTATTTCACTACATGAGGCGATACCGCATCTTAAAAATATTGAACGCCCACCATCCACACCCGATGTCATCACCATAACAACCGAACAGGGCGTTACGAAGCAATTGCAGACATCACAGATGCAACAAGTAGCTGGTGTAGTACCAGCACCGTCACCAGTACCCGCCAGTACACCACCAGCTGTTAACACAAATATCGGTCTAGGTTTGTTGCCACCGCCACCCGTCGCCGCCGCTGCCGCTGCCGCTGCCGTTGCCGGCATTAACGGCCCGGGTAAAGGTATTGGTAATTTGACCGTACCGCCATTGGACGCCAACAGCATAAATGCTGCGGTCGCCGCAGCTGTTGCAGCAGCTGCAGCTGGTGGCAATAATCCAAATGCACTCTCAGCAAATGCTCTATCGGCGCTACTGCCAGGTAATGCCGCTGCAGCAGCGGCTGCAGCAGCAGCCTTAAATAATGTACCATCTGTTATACCACCAACAACAACTACCAGCATGCCGACCACTATACCAACACCCATACCAAGTACCACCCAAACGACGGGTAAGAAGCGCAAGCGGCATATAGCCATTGACGTCGAAACCGAGCGCGCCAAATTGCACGCACTGCTAAATAGTTCACAAAATAGTAAGTGCCACCATCAAAGAAAAATAACGAATTGAAATTAAGAAATAACATTTTTTTAAATTTCTTTTTTTTTTTTTTGAAGTGGGTCTCAAAGATTGGGAGACTGAAATCGCAAATATGGAGCCCTTAGCTGCTACCGCACAGCCATCAGGTCGTCGCAGCGCATCAGCTGTATCGCCAGCTGCCCCAGCAGCAACTGCTACAAATATGTCACTACAGCCGCCGCCTGCGCATCAGCATGCCTCGTTGTCGCGCCAGTCATCGGGTCAATTCAGCAAACCAGCCATACCTCCACTCAAGACCCCAGCAGCGTCGATGGGGGCGCCAATGGACTTGTCTTCAAGGTAAGAGCGTAATGATTAAAACACATATTTTTTCTTACTAATTTATTGCTTACGTTCGAAATTTAGCTTGCCACGCATGAACATGGCAGACATATTGAAGTCTGCTTCGAACGCCTCCGGGGCAATAGATTTAAGTGAAGTACAAGATTTCTCAATGCCCTCAAAGAAATCTGCAACAACATCGCACTTACAGGCTTCCCTAAGCTCTGCATTTCCATCTATGGGCGGCAAGGGTAAACTGGATGACACTCTCAACAAACTTATGAAGAAGAATAATTGCGTAAGTTATATTCTATGCACAACAACAATAACAATACTCAAAAATATTTAAATTTTTTTCACACAACAGACCATCGAAGAACCAGTTATTGGAAAAGAAAAGAAACGCAAGAAACTCGATGAAATCGTTTTGGGCCTATCAGCTGCTAAGGAACAGAAAACCTTCCCTGATCCATCGCTACCGTCATCGAAGAAACCGCAAATACCACCAAGTGTATCGGTAACGCCAGCCAATCTGCCGACTTCGGTATCAAATCAAAGCCAGCAAAATCAAAAACCCTTTACTATCACTGTTACGACAGTGCCCGGAAGTGAGTTTGAGTCTCTGAGCCTATTTTTTAGTCTTATGCTATTTTTCACATATAGTAACCGTTAATAACCCTGCGATTATTTTCCTCAAACTTTACAGAATCTAAATCGGGTGGCAACTCCTCAATGCCTTCGCCAGCTTCAGCTCCCTCAATGTCGAACAGCAACATGAATTTGATGAGCGGCGGCTTGTCATTGAAGGATATTAACGCGTTTGTTGCCCAAACAATGGCCTCAGATCCGCAAACGCTGCTTAAACAACAGCAAAAGATGATGCAATGCTTGCCGCCGGCGCAGCGCAAAGCATGTGAAGCTATGTTCGCCGAAATCGAGCAAGCCGTCAAGTTAAGGTTAGTAAAAAAAAAACGGCTCCTTTTGAGAAAGAACTTCAAATTAAAACCCTTTTCGTTTCGCTCTCACAACAGTGCTAAATACAACATGCCCGATACAAAGGTGAATAAGTGGCTGACAGACATGAGTACACCACTAACTGACCAATTAAATATGGACTTCACCAACCCAACACCCAGTACAAGTAGTAATACGAATAGCCGGCGTTCGAATCGGCAACAGAGTAACAATTCGTCCCACCAGTCGTCTGTGTCTCAAATGAGCAAAGCTGCTGCAGCACAATCTGCGCAATCGCATGCACATCAACAACAACAGCAACAGCAGCAGCAGCAGCAACAGCAACAACAACAGTCCAGTATGGGCGGTGTTCCGGGGCTCACTGGCGAAGAGCCGGTACCTGTAGTAAACAAACAAACCGGTAAACGTATTTCGGGCAGCAAAGCTCCACAACTGAAACGTCTGATGCAGTGGTAAGTTGAAATGATATTGCAATTATTTATTTATATATACATATTAACCCTTTTTGCATGAAATTAATAATATTCTATTAGGTTAACTGAAAATCCCAATTACGAAGTCGATCCAAAATGGTTGGAGCAAATTCAAAATCCAATGTCAATACCGTCACCAAAACTTTTGGAAAACAGTAATTATGCATCGACGAGTAAATCATCGCATGGTGGTCGACCTTCATCCACTTCAAGTAGTTCATCGTCGGGCGCCCACGCACAACAACAACAACAACAACAACAATCGTCATCCACACAATCTTCTCCAGCACCGTCACCGACTGTTTCTTCCAAGAAGTCATCACGGCAGACAGCAATCGATCAGGCAAATGCTGCCATGCAATTCGGTTCATTAGCCGGACTTAACCCAAATCTGCTAGCCAGTTTGCCCGGCCTAGGAGCATTTGATCCAAAGAATCCACTGGGCGCTTTTGATCCCAAAAATCCACTGCTGTCGATGCCGTTCCCCGGTATGCCTGGAATGGGCAACATACCTGGCTTGAATAATTTGAACAACATGAACTTGTTCGCCAGCCTGGCCAGCATGGGTGGTCTCGGCAATTTGGCCACCATGGATCCGCAAACGTTAGCCGCATTAATGGCTGCTGGTTCGGCGTTGGCTGGCTTGGGTGGTCCAAACACGGCCACTGGAAACTCAGGTACAAGCAAAAATACCCAATCTGGTGGTTCATCAAGTAAGAAGAGTAAAAATGACGCACAGCAAAATGCAATGAATTTGGGCGCTTTGACTGGCAATTCCGGCAACAGTGGCAATACTGGCGGCGGCAGTGGTAGTTCATCAAATAAAAATGCCAACGCCGCAGCTGCTGCAGCATCACAGTTAACAGGCTGTTTCCCGTACCTGTTCCCCAATCCGTCGTTACTTTATCCACCAATGGGTCTTGGCGGTTTGAATCCATACTCATTAGGGTCGTCTGGTCTGGGCTCAGCTTACGATCAATTGGCGCAACAATACAATTTATTAAATGGTGGCGCGGGTGTCACCTCATCCGCAGGAAGCTCTTCCACAACACAGTCGAAGTCTCACCAATCTCAATCGAAATCGAGTAACTCGCGTGCATCCACATCGTCCGCATCATCAGCGGCCTCCGTGGCGAATCTAATGAACGCAATGGCAAGTATGGGTGCTGCCGGTCAACCGCCTACCAGCGTGAGTAGCTCACAATCATCATCACGTAGTGGCGGACGTCAGTCAGCAGCTAGTCGCGCTGCCGCACAAGTAGCCGAAATGGCACAACTTTCGAGTTTACTCTTACCTGGAGCAGATCCTCATATGCTTGAATCTCTCAGTCGCATGGACTTAGCACAAAGTACACGCTTGTTGAGCTCATTGGGCATTCCACCAATTACTGCGCCTACAACACAATCCTCAGCGAGTGATAAACGTTCGTCCAATAGCAATTCAGCTGCCTCTATCGCTGCGCAACAAGCAGCTCAGGCAGAAAAACAAGCTGCAAAAGAGCAACAAAAGTGGATGGAAAGTTTGGCGCGCGGTCAACTACCCACAGATTTGGCCACTCTGCAAGCATTCTCTCAAGGTAAATTCCCTGCCTCATTGACTGGCGGTAGCCAATCAGCCTCCACGTCATCGTCGGCGACAACATCGTCGGCTTCGTCGAGCAAGAACGCCTCGAAGGCGGCAGCTGCTGCGCTAGCTGCACAATTGCCGCAAATCCTTGGTTTACCAAGTGATTTTGCACCAGCAATGATTGCCGATATGGCACATGCGTTGACCGCTCCTGGTTCGTTGGCAAGTTTGGCGGGCTTAACTGCGCCACCAACCAGTAGCGCGTCATCAATGATGGGCGGTGGCAGTGGCAGCAGCAGCACTTCGAGTTCCTCGAAACGCCAACGAGGCGGCGCCGGCGGTGGCAGTGGCGGTGGCGGCGGTAGTAATAGTAGTAGCAATAGCAATATGCTTGATCCGGATGCCTTGACCAAGGATGCCTTCAAACAACAAATGGAGTACTACACCAAGACATTGGGACTCGGTTCCGGCATCTCATTAATACCCACCTCAGTGGCAACAAGTATGAGCAACAGCGGCGTATCCAATACCATGTCGAATGCGCAAATGGATGATCACCACAAATCGAAACGTTCACGTATGGACTCGCATGCCGCGGCATTGGCCAATGCTAAAGATGAATTATCCGCAGCCATGTTGGCCAGTGGACTACCATTAAATCTGGGCGGCGGCATGACAAGCATAGAAAAGAGCTTACGTGGCGGTAGTCTCGGCATGGGTGGTGGTGGTGGTGGTGCTACGATGCCCGAAGCCGACAAAGTCACGCTGACACCATTAAACTCCGCCGGCATTGCGGCCAACCTGCCATCGCAGACCACAATCACCATTGCGCCACCGATAAGTTCCGGTGCCAGCTCGAGTAGCGAACGTTCTGAACGCAGCGAGTCACGCATCTCCTTGACCATCACAAATGCTGCTGATGCAGCCAAGTTACCGCCACCGTATGAAGAGGCGGATGAGCTGATAATACAACCCATATTGAAAAAACCACAAAATACACCCACATCAACTGCGGCCAGTATTGCCTCGAGCAGTCATCACGGTAGTGTCGAAGATTTAGAAGCAGCTGTAGCAGCTAGTCTAGCAGCCGGTGGTGGTGGCGGCGGTGGTATCGGCGATGGTAACAGTGGTAATACAACACCTACACCGTCAACATCCGCTGCGGCAGCTGCAGCTGCAATGGCAGCAGCGGCGGCCTCCGCCAGTGAAGAACATCGACGTTCATCCAGCCGTTTGAAACGACCACGTACAGGTGGCGATCATGCGCTAAACGAACAGCCGCCTGAAAAGCGACGTGAATTGCGCTCAACGCGACATACGCGCCAATCGAGCGGTAGTTTGGAGCAATCTCTAAATTTGTCAACAAATAACGAGGCTGAGGAAAAGAATGAATGAGTACTGCGACGTACAACGCGACTGACGACTACAAGTAAATAGGACAAGCAACAACAAGCGCGCAAGAAGCGGAAATAAGTAATTAGATTGTAAAATAAGTAGGAGTAGAATGAAGGAATAATGCATAATTAAAGTGTTGTGTATGGAGAGGAAGAGAGGAGGCAAAAGTTGAAGCGCAATAGCGAATCTAATAGTATTAGCCAAGCTATACAATCAAAAAATCGACTGTGGTTTTATCTCCAAACATCTTATCCGCTTAGTAAGTTTGGAAAACAATAAAAAAAAATCGAATTTCTCACTTTATTGCGATGCTGCTGTTCGTAATTTTGGGTGAAAACGATTAGACTTTTCCAAATTTTCATAGTAAAAACAAATCATTTGCAATCATTCTTAAAACGTAAAATTCTTAAGAGATGTTTATGCAACATGTCCATAAACTCGCACCGAATGACCAGTGCTGCAAAGGTCCATTCATTGCTGTGATTTGATGTTCGTTGCTAAAACATCTGTAAAATCCAGTATGATGCGCTTGTCATTTGAGCTGCTGCTGATGCTGTTGACAAGCCGCATACGATATATTTTCATAACTGTTATGTAAACTAAAACGCCTCTTCCCTACGCTCTCCACATGCCTGACTATAAATATTATTATATGAATTAGTTCTTTTTAAATCAATTACCTTTAGCGGTGAGCTAATAAGTATAGACAGAGAGAAAGTAAAAGAGAAAAATTATTATGAAAAGCGCTTATAATTATAAAACATATTATAAAATGAAAAAGTTATTACTATAAATTATTGCTAAAACCGACAAACAAACAAAACAAAACAAAAAAAAACACAAGAAAAAAATACAAAAAAAAAGAAAAATAATCAATTTATTAGCTTGTAACGACAATTTAATTTAATTGGATTGCTTAATAATTTACGTTAGTATAATAGTATATAGGTATATATAGTGTATGCACAAGTTAGACTACAAAGGGTAACGATAATAATGAAAAAAGAAAAATGGAGCTTACGACATTTATAAAACTGATTAAAAAAAGTTCAAGTGTAATGCATAAAAAGTATGATAATGATCATGATCATGATGGTAGTTAGTTGTAGTTGTATTGTATTGTATTGTATTGTAATAATAAAGAGCGTACATATAATTCTCGAAATCGCTTGCAGAATTTAAATACAAAAACCCGTAATGCGTAAATAATCACTTATAAATGCATACATACATACATGCATATATACATATATACATACATATATATAAATATATAGATATATTTTCTTAAACGTGTGTATTTTATAAATTATATAATATATATTATTATTATTTTTAAACAATAAAATCATGTCTCGTTTCATTATACGATTGCAGTTTGCGGTGACAACCCGAGCAAAAATAAAATTGAAAAAAATATTTAAATAAAATAATATTTATATAAATTATGCAAAAAAACAGTTAATTAATGCAATGCGTATTGCCGATTTTATACATTTTTTCTTCTTTTTGCTATAAACATTATTTGCACACTGACATCGGAAAAGTCATTTCAAAATAATGCCACAACACCATCTTGCGTTTTTTCAACTTTTTTTTACAAACAAATTTTAACTATGCGTGCAGCATCAGGTCAACAAATAATAATTTTTTGAGAAAATTCAAATTTTTATTGTTTTCGAAATTTCACCTCACTTGTGGTAACATAAATAACACGCTGAATTTAAAATATTTCATTATTGTACTGAAAAGCGAAAAGTTAATCATTTTTTACTTCGTGCTTTTAATTATTTCTTTTTTTTTTCACACTTTCAATTTCACACCTTTGTGTGCTTCTTCTTTACTCACAGACTTTTTTGAAAGTAGTCCCTCATTCTGGTTCGTACGCTTCATTATAACTGTGTATGTATAATGATGATAGTCTTGCGTGTGCATAAGCTTAGTTAGCCTTTTCAATATGTAATACATAATAATTTTAAAAAACAAAGAAAAAAAAACATTACTACAAACAATATTTTATTTATATCGACAATATAACTGCATGTTTAGTTTATATTTTTTATACATAGTACTACATACCAATTATAAATAATTGCATTATTTTTTTAAACACACACAAACATACATTGTCTCGTCTTGTACGTACTAAGTTTGTCTTAATTATGATTTTTAATTAATTTAATTTTTTAAAATAATAAACGTTTTTATAAATATTTTCAATGTACATATTGTTGTTGTTGTTTTTCGGTTTAGACGAAATCTGTCTGATAAAGCGAGGTCGTGGCTTTGTGAGGAAAATTTTAAGCACTTTTGATGGTTTTTTTCAAACACAGAGTACTGCAGAGGAAACGAGATGATAGAAAAAAAAAATAATGTTTAACTGCAAATTTTAACGGTTTCACGTCTATGTAACAGAGACTTTTTTAATGCTTTTCCATTAAAGTATTTGATTATTTTTTAAACAAAAATATTTTCCTGCTTTTTGTACCAAATTTTTCTACTTACTCCCCAACTATTCGGTTTGTATTTAAAAACATGCTTGTGAAAAATGAAAAATTTATATTTGACTGCACCGTTATAAGTACCAGTAGTAGTAGGTAAAGTGTTGACGAGAGCGCAGAGTGTAGTGTATAGATAATTAAAATGCTAATCAATCTCTTGTAAAGCTTAAAAAATAAATTATGATAAATGTAAATCGAATTCAAACAGATTTTTTCACCACAAAAACAAAATATGAAAATAAATTTTTGAATAATACATAGTAAATTAAAATGGAAAATATATTAAAACAAAAATAATAAAAGTTTTTCTTGAAAACAAAAAAAAATAGATATTAATTAAAATTAAAAGCATGTAAACGAAATAAAGAGTATGAGTGCAAGTAAAAGTTTTGTGCGCTGTAAAAACACACAAACAGTTCATACATACATACATACAAAACACATTTAAATTAAACGCATATTAAATAATGCTTTTTATGCAATTAAAAGCAAAAAGAAAAATTAATAATAATAATAAGAGAATTGTAATTATAATATTACCATAATTTATTATTGTAAACCGCGCATACATATATGTATTTATATAAATGTACATACATGCACATACATATATATATTTATATATATGGTACATATGTATTTAAATAAGAAAAAGCATGCAATCATATATAACATACAACAAATAATTTGCAATTCAAACGTATTTATATCTGCATACACATCCATATACCTACATACATACATGCATTATATATGTACATGCAAACATGCATGTATAACACATTTAAGCAAATTTATTTAATAATGAAATGAGTAAAAAATGCTATTTAAATAATTATTATAAGAGCGCATGCATATGTATATGCGCATGCGTACACACATACATATGTAGGTATGTATTGTACATTAGCATATAATAAATACCCCCTACCATAGCGACAAGCAAAAGCGACAAATTGATTTACTGGACCCACACAGACATACATACGTGCATACATAAAATATATGATATTAAATTAATTAAGGACCTATTAAATAAAAAAAAAATAAAAGTTTAAACATTTAAATTACTAAATAAATATAAATAAAAAATAAGAAAAATCTTGCAAAAATATATAAAATATTATTGTTTTATTTGCATTTGCCATTGAGTGGGTAAAAAAGGTGCACCAAAGTATTAGTTACTATTTATCGGATGCTAAAGAGATTTTCAGCCGAGCTCCTCCTCTAATTTGTGATGCGCATCTTAACGATTCTTCCAAACAAATGAAGGAAACTACGGTTCCCACTAAGCCTCCTCCGAGCGGCTGTTGGACTTTTATGAGGAGAAATATACTCAGAGGGACTAGTATCCCTAGCGAGGGGCAACCACCGTTAGAAAATTAATTAATTTCTTTATTTCAATTGACTTTGTCAGACTAGTATTCGAGCTATGGTTTTTGTTGCTGTTGTGGCGGTTGACAAACTAACAAACCCGTTTAGGAGTAGGGGAGCCGTATTCATATCAGTGATGTCACCTACCGGATGGTCCATTAAACGTAGATGTAACGACGGTGTTTTTCTTGTTGTTGTTATATCCACAAAAGAATTCTCCACAGTAGATTTTAGTTGTGGTTGTTGTAACCGCAAAAATAATTCCCAAAATAGTTTTTGGGGAATGTTGTGGGAGTGATATTCCTTGGCCGTACAAAAATCCGGTACTTGGTACTTACGACAGGCTTGCCTTACCAAGAGTAAATTCTTGAGCAACTAATCCAAGCCGTCTTGTTGAGCGGTTCTAGTCTATGCTGCTGAATGGCGCCTGCATAGACTACGTTCTTGTTGTACTTCGGTTGAGATTCAACCCCAGTAAATGTGTGTCGGGCTGCTCCCGAGGGTAACATGACAGCAGATATTGCTTGCACAGCACACCATTAACTTGTTTTATAAATGTGCAAGTAATGCGCCAGTGGCATCAGAAGATCCTGTCATGGTCTTAGGACGGTTTTCTGACACGGTTGTAACTTTCTCATATGGGTCTCGCTAATCCCTATCATCCAAAATCGCGCAGCGCCTGTCGACCGATAGCCATGTATTTTGTTAGCAACGTTTCTTTGTCTCTTTCCCAGGTGCTGTCGGCTAACGATTTGAGGATTCTTGCGTCTCTGCACCAATAGCATCAATTGTGACTCCCAGTTACTTTTGGCTGCTATTTGTCGGAGAAATCAAGCGCAAGGCTGATGTTTGGTAATTTGTAGCTTCGTATTGTCTACCGAAGGGTAGAGTGTTATGATTGGTGTGCCGATAACGCCATTGAAGGAAAGAGAGTTAATGAACGTGTTGACAGACTTTCCGTCGCGATTTAGAATTTAGGGTCCGTTGGCACAGGTTAAGCGGTTTTGTGAAATGGCGTGCTTAAGATCAAGATTTCCCTACCTTAGGTAACATCCCAACAGATACTGATTACACAGCATTGAATTGTGCTCCTTAACTGGGAGCACGGATGTTTCACTTTACAAATGTTAGGTGACATCCGGAGGTGTCATGTTATGGTCATCAGGAGTTCTGACACGCTTGGCCCTTCTTCATATGCGTGTAGCTAGTCCCCAATGCCTAAATAATGTGATGGAGTTAATGGAAGGCCGGTTGCTTGCCTTGTAAGGCTCTTTCCTTATCATTTGCTCAGGTTCTAGTGACCACCGACTTGAGTAGTTTGTCGTGGTTCGGTATTTTGGTGACAATCGCAGTCATATATTGAAGGATTTTAGTACAGGCTGTCAATTTTACTTGGGCAATCTTTTGTCGGAACTTTAACGTCGTCACCTTTAATGCTCGAGACTATGCTCCGTCGTATAGCTGGGGAAGAGAGCCGTTGTGGATTTTGCTGGTTGTAGTGGTATATGTTGTGTGATCAGACGTCAACATGCCAAGGCAATAATATCTGGTCCTAGAGCAAGGGGCCTGGGCATTACCCTGCTGTACCCTTTGTTTAATTTTCCTAAGCTTAAATTTGTGAAATCGAAATTTTACCGATGACTTTCGAACGCATCTTTTTAACCCGACGTTATTGAGGAAACGCTTTTGGTCGAATGTTACCAACCGGTGGTGAATTTTGATTAGGAGCATGTGTTATCTGGGTATCTACGCAATGGCGACGCCGAGGAAGCCATGCTGAAGTTCTATTGGGCTCAGGTGGTGAGTGAAAGACGAGAGCAGCAAGTTCTCCAGTGCTTTCGTTACTGGTGTGAGAGGAGATATCCGTCGATATGGTTATCAGTTATTGGTTGGTTCTTTCGATATCAGTAGCGGTATCACATTGCCCTGTTTCAACATGTCGGGTATTGCAAAAAAGAACTTTAGCAAGAAAGTCTGTTCCCGCCGGAACATAATTATTTAGTAGTAGTCGGAAAAATGTATGATACAATCCAATTAAGTTTCACGCCCTTTGACCTCACAGCTTGATCACCGATAAATATTCCATTTCCCGAATTTGAACACACATTAATTAAGCGCTGAGAGTAAGGTGAAAATTTCGATACAAGTTTTTTTTATTAAAATATAATTTATGGTGAATACAACTTCAGGTCTCCAATCACATAGAAAAATTTCATATAAAGAATGTATGTATGTATGTATGTAATTAAAAATTTTAATACAGAATGAGTCAGTGCTACTCGTTGCTATAATTAGCTTTAAATTTCGTATATGCTTGCGTATATAACTGTGTGCATGCTATTTACTTGCTGATAACATCTTTTACAAAAATGAAACTTAAAACGAATTAAACTTTGGCATATTGAATGCCTTTACAACTTTTTAAAATGACTCATAAAAACATTTTCAAATAGAGCGCATTATGTATGATCATATAGGGTTTTCTGTTTGCTTTCCTTATAAAACACTTAGTTGTAAATATGTATGCATGTATAGTATGTGTAATAGCTAATCAAGAAAATTAATATGTTGATGTTTATTTTACAATATTGTTATCTATGTGTAATTTAAAAACATGGAACGTTCGCACGCCTCATCAAATTGCTCTTCTTGTCGGCGATCATTTTCGGGTTTTCTCACCACTTCATATAGGTCGTCAGCTGTGTCGGTACCGTTTTCGGACTGTTCTTCCTCCTTCTCACTATTTCCATTATCTATAACTGGTTCGCCGATAATCAATCGAATATTGTTGGGCAGGTTATCAGCTGCCTTGATTTGCAAATAAATCGCCTCGGCATTTTCTAACGTACGCTTAACATTTATGTGGCCCGACAGTTCGTTGATGTGCTTTAAAATCTCTGTGAATTCATATTTATTTTCAATTATAACATCTGTTTGTTGATCCAATATGGACACTGATATGAATAAATGGAAATTGGGACAAGGCAAACGCGTCCAAAGGCACTCCCATAGCTTGAGTATATCGTCGTTGGAGAATTCACGTTTATACCAAACAAGTAACCAACGAAAACAGAAAAACATATTATCAGATTCATGTGTGACCATATAGTTGAATAGACGTGGATTTGAGAATTCTACTAAATCACGTAATTGACGGAATTGCGCTTTCATGCCAGCCTGATCAATATCGAAATTAGCAAACACCATATCCATGAAGCCAACAAAACACCAGAAGGCATCTACTTCATTGCCCTAAAATGAAAACAATTTAGTTGCTAAATGTTATCAATTATATATATTGGGTTGCCCAAAAAGTAATTGCGGATTTTTTAAAAGAAAGTAAATGCATTTTTAATAAAACTTAGAATGAACTTTAATCAAATATATAATTGCCATTTTGTTTGATAACCTTTTGCCATCTTCCTGATAAATTTAGTATTCCACGCTCATAGAACTTTTGGCCTTTATCTGAAAAAAACTGAACCAAGTGCGATTTTATAGCCTCATCATTGCCGAAAGTTTTACCATTTAAGGAGTTCTGCGAAGATCGAAATAAATGGTAGTCTGATGGTGCAAGGTCAGGGCTATATGGTGGATGCATCAAAAGTTCCCAGCCAAGCTCACTCAGTTTTTGGCGAGTGACCAAAGATGTGTGGGGTCTAGCGTTATCCTGGTGGAATATGACACCTTTACGATTGATCAATTCTGGTAGCTTCTCCTTGATGGCTGTTTTCAATTTGTCCAATTGTTGACAGTAAACATCCGAATTAATCGTTTGGTTCCTTGGAAGCAGCTCAAAATATACGACACCCTTCCAATCCCGCCAAACAGACATCATAACCTTCTTTTGGTGGATATCAGCCTTTGAAGTGGTTTGAGCTGGTTCACCATGCTTGGACCATGATCGTTTTCGACTAACGTTGTTGTAAACAATCCATTTTTCATCTCCAGTTATGATTCGTTATAAAAACGGATCGAATTCATTGCGTTTAAGGTGCATATCACAAGCGTTGATTCGGTATGTTAAATGAATTTCTTTCAATACATGTGTTACCCAAATATCAAGCTTTTTCACCAGTCCAAGACTTTTTATGTGATAATGAACGGTTGATTTTGGTATATTTAACTTCTCTCCTATCTCACGCTCAGTTACATGACGATCCAATTCGATCAATGCTTTGATTTGGTCATCATCAACTTCATTTGGCCGACCTGAACGTGGCTCATCTTTAAGTGAAAAATCTTCAGAACGGAATTTGCGAAACCAATTTTGACACTGTCTTCCTTTTAAGGCTTCATCACCATACACATCTCGTAACTTTTTAGCAACCTGCTCCGAGTTTTTTCCTTTACGGAAATAATAAAGTAAAATATGACGAATATGCTCTTTTGTGGGCTCCATATTAAAATTGACGCCAAACAAACAAATGTAAACAAAATTTCGCGAACTTTTTTTCTAAAGCAAGCTAAAAGTAACAGCTGATAACTGACAGAAGAAAGAATGCAATTACATTGTCACAAGCCATTGAAAAAATTTGTCAACGCCGACTATATGAAAAATTACTTTTTGGGCAACCCAATACATACATGCATTCAAGTGTATAAATTTCAATTTCAGTTACCTGTATGGCGAGTAATGGTGCTAGTAGATCGGACATGCCCTGCACATAACCCAAATCGAAATTGTACATTACGTAGGTCATTAATATGCCCTGCAATACCATTAGATTGGGATTATCTTCACCAGCGAAAAAATCGAGTGAACGATCTGTGCGTTTAACATCCTTCTCGATTTGGCATTTCCGATCACGAAAACCGCTAAAGTTCTCCTCTTGTGTAGTTGTCATCGATAACCATTGTGCTTTCATTTTATAATATTCCTTATATTTTTCTTTGTGGCGTTGTATGCGTTCAATCTCTGTATCATTCCATTGGTAATAGTTCAGAAGATATTTCCAAACATCAGCGCGTAAATTAAAGTGTATACCACCATGGAAAATAATTTCCTTTATACGGTCTACGTCAGAAATGCGACCGTCTACCGTGTGGAACTCCAACCATTGAGCTTCATTTAACGGCTTGGCTGTTAGAAATAATATATATATATATAATTATGTAATGTATATTATTATATGGCTTTCTTTTGTTAATTATGTTTACTTCTCTCAACAAAAGGTCGTTCTGGCAGGGTATTCACTATCTTCTCATCCTCCTCTTTTAAATTTTCAATTTCGCCATCCATCGGAGAATGCTCCTCACTACTACTACTGCAGCTGTGTACGCCAACATTTCGGCTAGTATAATTTCTAGGTGTGCTGCTCTTAACGCTTGATGCTATGTCAGGTAAGTTAATCAGCAGACCAGACCACGTATTCCTCATCCAACCTTTTTCCTTTTTCGATTCAGAATTTTTCATATCTCCGATGTTTAGCTCGGCGAATGTGCGTTTCAACTTTTGTGTTTCTGTACTGAGTACGGTATACTCGGCAACTCCATCTAATCTGCTGCCTGTGAGTTCGATCATGTGTTGTTCACACATGGATTTCAGGAATTGCTCTGCGTTGCCATGTTGGAAAAAGAATTCACTATGTTTAAAGTTGTCACTTTTTTGTATAAAACAAATAACTTGACCCCGTTCTGTAACTATAATAGTACTCAGATCATCGAGTCGAGTACGTATAATGCGTGGCTTATTAGCTGCTATTGCTTCCGGGGATGGCTTTATATTGAATGCTTTACATTCTGAAATTGTGCGCGAACGTCGTGGTATAGTGTCCACCACAGCCCAATCCTGACTATCGTCGGCAACTAGTATGTTGTCATTTGGACGCCATTCAATATATAGACGATGCGGCGATTCATAATCGATTATGGATAATGCACCGCTTGTATTCAGATCGGCTATATGTTCCACGCTGGCTTTTCGAAGTAGAACGCCATCGTGGGTGCATTTTATCTACACAAAAGAAAATAATATGAATGTATGAAAGACACAAAAATTTATCTTTAAAATATAAGGGCGTTTTCTTTGTTATTTCTTTTGTTAATGGGCATACTGCAAAGTGTAATACTAAATTTAACGAATAGATTCAGAATTTCTTAAAACTGTTATTTATTTTTTTTTTTTTCAAAACAAAAACATCGTACATACCGTGCCATTTGTGAATGTTGTTGGTGTTGCTGCTGGCGATTCTTCGGATCCAATTTGTACACCCTGGTTGGTGTTATAGTGCACCGAATTATTCATTTTACGTTTTAAAGATTCTATACTAAAATATTAAGACTTTTTGCGTTTGTTAAAAATTAGATCTTCCTCAACGTTCGCTTTTTTATTAACAATCTACGTATTCTTTACTGACTTGACTTTTCTGCAACGAAAAAGAAACAGCTGTTAGGTTTACAGTTTTAAGGGAACTTCAGTTTGAGAGGCAGTGGAACAGATGTCAAAAAGTAATCAGGGAATTCATAATTCAATTTTTATTTAATCCACAGATATTGTGAAATAAACGACCGTTGATATCCCAATATGTGCAAAAATACTAAAAAAAAAGCATTAAACAATGCATAGGCTTTCAAAATAGCGTTTTGGACTTATTTACTATACTACTAAACTATTGATGTAGGGAGGAGTTCTGAACATTTTTTTTTTGCCTGCGATCAATTTAAAGCTCAAGGCTTCAAGCATAGTAACAAAATTAACTACATCAATACTGAGCCAATTTTTATGGGAAAACCTTATGGTTTATACAAATAGTACGAAAAATATAGTTTAGAATGTATTTTAAAAATAACAGTGTTTTATTATTTACAGATATTATAAAGATCTCAACTTTTTATTTGCTTTAGCCACTTTCGCTTTTATCGCTTTGACATCCAATTTTTTACTATCTTCCGCAGGTCTCTTGCGGCTAGTAGACGGTCCATCTTCAGTCGGTGGGACGAAATCTTGATTGCGGCGCTCTTCCTGTTTCTTGGCAGCTTCGGATTGTTTCGTATTGCGCTCTTGTTGTTTGCGTGCTTGTTTCTGTTCTTTACTAAGGAAATATTCACCAGATGCAAGTTGCTTATCGACTTTGCTTTCAGCTTGTGCTGGTGGGAATGGTGTATACTCTTTCTTCGGCTTTTTGTTTTTAGGCTGCTTACGTTTGCTAATATTCTTGTTTTTGAACTTTGGTAGAAAGCGTGACCAATCTTCATTTGCTAATTTTGGATCATTCATAAGTTCACGCTTTATCATCAGTGCCTTGATGTTATAAATAGGATGTACGTTATTCATAGTGTCGATCACAATATCGCGAACTTGTTGCAATCCTTTGTACGGACCAAGTGCTGCTACTGTGTTACCTTGTACCAAAACATAACAATCAGTAAGTAATTCAATGGATTTCAAAGTTGCTCCGTTTGGACCAATTAAACGTTGTCGGCGTTTAACAAATTTATCCTTTTTATGTACCAAACTACCGATTTTGATGATGTCACAGCCAATTTCATCCTGTAGAACTCGCCGAGCTTGCTCAAATGGTACACTGCGAGCCATCAGTTTTATCATATCCCGAGCCTTAATAACAATATAAGGATCCCAAGTTTTGCGTGTTGTTTTAACCACCATACTACCTTCTACAAGATCCAATTCAGCTTTCAGATGATGTTCTGAGAGGCATTCTCTTACAAGTGGCCATATTTCATTTAGATATTTTTCTCTGTACTTTGGAAAAAGTGTCGCAAATGAACTTTCCTCAACCATGCCATTTGGGTTATCTTCTGGCTTAAATTCCGGAATCTTTAACGACCAAGCATTATCCACTGGCTCAGTGGAGATTTTCTCGTTTTCTTCATGTTCGCTCTCACTCATTGCGATTATTTTATAAAAACTATAGTTTGTTTATAAAATTTGCTCCACACGTGCAATTGTTTTATTTTGATTTTTTTCACTCCATTCACAATAAAATTTTTGACAATTGAAAAGTGCACCAGCGATGTATCGATAAATATTTTCCACAGCTCACAATGGGTAATTTATGGAAAGTTATCGTTACAAAAGAAACAAAATAATTTTTAACTTTCTATAATTAATTTTTTCGCTTGTTTCCTTTTCGTCAAGAGCATGAACAAATAAAAATTATTTATGCTCTTTGCTTTCTTTCACAATAAGGATATGAAGTTACCTTAAGACGTAGCAACCAATTAATTTCAAATCATCACAAATATCGATATTTAATTTCATGAGCACTCACACGAAGTACTAAGAATTTTATCAAAATTGAATTTATACGGCATTTCCACGACAGCCCAATTACGTCTTTCGCTCTCTCAATTACGAATGCGAGTTACCCGTATTCACACGGCACGCAGTTTGACAATTTTCGGTTTTGCTTGTTTGTTCCATTTGCAAACGTATGGAAAATAAAAGATTTTATTAGAAGTTAACAAAACTAAACTGGTAAAGTAATGAGGGTTTCTTTATTAAATTCTAACTTTTTCTTCTTTAATATACAAATAGCCTTTAATTTCAAATCAATTTTTGTATGTTAGTACTTTCTTTTATGATTCTCCTCTGTTTGTTTGATTTGTCAGCTGTTTTCGATAAAATTTCGATAAGAATTAGAGAAGGCATCGATTTGGTCGTAGTTTGCATAGCAATTGAGAACGAATTACCCGCTTTTACTGTAATTCGCTCACGACCATTTTGTATGACGAATTAAATAACTCGGCATGTATTTGTAGTGCGAATTACGATTGAGAGAGCGAAACACGTAATTGGGTTGTCGTGGAAATGCCGTATTAAATTCTCGAAGATTTCCTTATATTAGAAACACTTATTAAAAATCGTTCCTGATGATGTTCTGAAACTCTTTGACAACAATATCGAGATGAATTTAGGTTGCTAGTGCAGCTCGAACAATTGGAAATTTAATTTCAGAAATCAAATAATATAGAGACCACCATTTTTTATTACTGGAATTATTTGAAAACATATAAGAGAAACTAGTTTGAGAGTACTCCCACGCAGAAATTGACATTTTTTGCACAGCAAAATGACTGAACGAAATAAACAAGACGTGAATTTGATATGTCTGGCAGCGCTTTAACATGAACTAATTCACAATGAATGATGATTTCTTGACGCACCCTGCATTCCTCAGCTGATTTTGATTCTTGATCTACAAACCATAACAATTTATTTTGTTTATTTATGATTTAAATAAAATGAAAACCAAATCAGCTAGAAAACGTCAACGAAGCAAAAAACGTTCTAGGAGGAATTCAAAAATTCCAAACTGTGGTGAAATTTTAGGAATAACGACACATCCATCTTTTCAACGACAAAATGAGACACTAAACTCAGTTCCCGCTACAAATGCTGCATCTTTGTGGCGTGATATGTATGAATCCCTTGTGATTCGACAATGTGAAGTTAAAATCGAATATTGGAAGCAACGTGCAATGCGTTTAGAGCAGGAAAATGAAGAGCTGCGCCATCAATTGCAGGCAAATGTTCCAGTGTATGAAACGTCATCCGAAGAAGATGATGAAGAGCAACGATATTTAGATGGAGCAGATGACGACGATTATAATGAAGAGGATCTTTCGCCTGAATATTTAGCTTTTAGATCTGTAACACTTCAACATCGTGAAGAATTAAGAAAACAGCGGGAAAGAGAACGTTTGGAAGATAAGGCTGATGATACCACACTTAATGTTAGTCATTTGCCGGATTTAAGCAAATCGGCTTAAGATTTACTTCGTATTTATATGTATATTAAGATTTTTTAGAACTTTTAAAAAATATATACTTAATAAATATGTTTAATTTAAATTTTTTATATTAAAAACTGCATGAAACTCGATTTAATCTGAAGGTGTCAGAATCACCGGCCAGCATTTGTATGCTCTTGTAGAAAATTTTATCAACTCCGTTTAGCTCTGAAAAAGAACAACTGCTTAACGGGTTTTCATAATGCAGCTATAAATGAGAATATCATGGAGCATGTGTTACATAATAACCAATTCTGTGAATTCGCACTGATTTATGCACAAGGGAAATATTCGTTGTCTGCATGATACGAGAGTTGAATGAGACAACACAGTTGAAAAAGTGACGAAAATTAACGTGTGCGTGATGAATATGCGAACATTTGTTAAATTCATAACTCACGCCTGCAAAGTTGCATACGTTGCCCAAAATTTAGCTGCAGCGGCATGAACATCGTTGATTGTAATGAAAGAATACGCCTTTATGTATGTATTTATGTACATATATTTGTATTAATACTAATTTGAGTAGAATAACATTAGGGGGAGATGAAAAGTGGAATGGGCAGTTCCTGGTCTCCTCCCGAAGAGAAGAGTAGTTTTCCTGCTTATCAAAGCAAAAATCCAAATATTCACTAAATTTCAAGTAAAATGGAACCACAAATAAGAATTTTTTGAACAGGTCAGTCTTTGGTACACTTACCGGAGAGAAGTGTAGCCTTTCTGTTAACCTAAGCAAAAGGCCAGATATGTGCCGAATTTCAAGTGAAGCAAACCGTAAATAAGATTTCTTCGATTAGGTCAGTCCCTGGTAAACTTCCCATAAAACCCTCCTAATAGGCATCATAGAAGCAATCTGACAAAATTTCAAGTCAATCGGTCGGTTAATTTTGGAGAACACCCTTACAACCAGATATTAGGATTCTTTTCGAATAGGTTAGTCCGGGTCCACTTCCCAACAGTTTGACGTTTAGCGAGAATTTTGATATTTTGATTGGACTTTTTGCAGTGGCCTATTTAGGCTATTAAATTAGCTCAAGTTGCTTATTTTGTGTTGTTGTTTTCCATGTGATTCGATACGATACGTAACGTTCTTTTGCAGATCGAGTGCGGAAGAAATCACCTACTATTAACAAGTATTTCCGGGTTTTCATTCAGAATGCTTTATGCTTGCTTAGGTGTCTTTTTGGTAGGCTCCGAATACTAAACCTTCAACATGGATAAAGGGTGAAATCTCATTCCAAGCGCACACTCCCTAATAATGAAGTAATATACAAATGTTCATGCATACATACATACATACATCTATGAGTACATGACTATGCATGTGCAGGGGTTTTGGGTTCTTTTTCGGGAAACGCCCATTACTTATTTTCGTATGCACATATATGTATGTACGCATGTAAATATGTATGTATAATGAGATAATTAATTTGTTGCCATAATTTTAACACCTCTTTTCGGGTGAAAACGAAAGAGTAAAGTTTTGTTCAAGAAACCGTAAACTCAATTGATCTTAATGTCTTCATTTGCCATGATGAGCTTTAGCCAGTGTGCTAATTTGAGTAACGGTAAATCAAAGGCAAAAGTAATAAAAGTCGAGAAATGATGGAGATCATGGGACTGTTCCAATTACATACATACTTATAATTTTAGTAGTTAGGTTAGGTTGAGCTTGTCCAGTTTACTCAGTCTCATTTAGACAATGGACGTGATAGTATTACCAGGCACATCACATACGACCAGAGGTGCATTGCCGCACACAACAAGGAGAAATAAATAAATATATTAAATCTTTATGTTTTTCCAATGACTAGTACAAATCAATATATAATATTGTCTTTGCATTGAATTGAAGGCCTTATTTATTTGCTTTGCTCAATAACCTTTTGCTATTTTGAAGGCAATACTATTATGCTTTTCTCATAGACACTCTACCCCTCTTGGCAAAAAATTGGAGACAGAAACATATGGGAATCATTATAAATTAGATGTATAAGAACCTCCAAACCAAGCTCTCGGAGCTTCTTGCAAGTCACTATCGATGTGTGTGGTCTGGCGTTGCCCTGTTGTAACACAATTCTTCTTCCGTGTCAAAAACTGGGCGCTTCTGGGCGGTTGATTCCATTAGACTGTCCAACTGATGACAGTACAGGCACGAATTGAGAGTTTGGCCGCAGGAGAGCAGCTCATTTTAATTGATATCTTGCCAATCAGACCAAATATTCAACAAAACCTTCTAGCCCGTCAATCCTGGTTTAAAGACCGTTTGTTTGGGCTCACTGCGCTTCGACCATGTTTTCATTTGCCGTTGGTTTGAGCGACCCACTTCTCATCACAACTCACCATCTGCTTCAGACATGGGTCGATTTTGTAGCCTGTCACAAATGGAGCTTCGTTCCATGGGGTTTTTCTTCTTTAAGTCTTGTGGGGCCCATACAGTGAGCTTCTTCATGTATCCAGCCTTTTTGAAGTGTTGCCAAGCTGTTTTTTGTGCAATGTTTAACTTATGGACAATCAAAACAGTGCTCGTGTGACGGTAAGGCTCGACGATTTCCGTTGTTTTATTGACATTTTCGACGTTTAGCCTTCCACACCGTAGAACAACTTTTACATGAAAATTACTGAATCGAAACTTAATTCAAATAATAGTCGAGTTCCTTCTCTAAACGGCTGGTGGGTTTTTATATAATAAAAGAAATACACACAATTAACGTTCTTGATCGAGTCCCTGTGTACACTGAAGCCTCCCGGTCTTCCAATTTAACCACAATTAACCAATTACGTTGCTGCGAAATAATATAAATCCATCGAAATTGTGCAACGACACCAGATTGCAAGTAGTAATGTAATCGAGGATATTGTATAATCTAAACTTATTTCTTGGATTCGCATAATACCATCAAGTAACTGCTAAGAATTCAAGCGAAAGTAGCTTCCCATCAAGGGCTGCAATAATAGACAACCTTGCAGGGAAAAATACTAGTTGCTAATTAGTTTCTACACCAACCACTTCATCTTTCATCTATTTTCCATGTAAGCAGCTGGTTTTTTTACACGGCGAGTCCTATGAGCTGCTAGTTGTCGGTATATGCATCAGCTTCATACTAGTTAAATACCAATTCTTATATATCAGTTAAAATGCCTATTCATTTATACCAGTTGAGAACTAGTTCAC